TTTACCACCTCCTTGTAATTTTTTACCCCTCATAATTGGTAATGAGACCTTCTGTGTCTTTTCCCTGTGCTAATGTTCTCTGAGGTCACTTCTGGCTGTAGATGCCACACTGTGCAATGTCCAGTCCTATTTCTAACCAAAGAGGTTTGTAAACCTTGCTTATTATCTTAACCTTCTCTCCAAGGTAGATTTTCTTTTCTCATAGGTAAATCCTATTCCTAATTAAAGAAACCCATCTGGACCATTACTCCATGTTAAACGCCAAACTACTCAAATACTGTTGATGTGCTCAATGTACTTGCAACCTAACGAGGTAATTATTCACCATGGGATCAATTTATTAACAAAACAAAGATATCTTACATGGTAATTACAGAATTATCACCTTCCAGGAAATGTAATACCTGTTAGATTGGTGAAGACTGGGATGAACAAGAGAAAAGAAAAGAGGGTGGTACCACTAACAATCATACAAAAGAGACAAAAAATTTGTGTATTTTCCTAATAATTCTGAGAATCTCTCTCAGGATAGCTGACTCATCTTTTATTCAAGAAATAGAAACCAACTATGTTTGAAACTATGCAAATAATATAAAGACATATAAAAACATCCCTGACCTCAAAGAGTTAAATTTAAAAAAAAATCATTAGAGGAACTGTCAGAATTAAGATTTAATTGACAAAGAATTTAAAAGGGGAAGGTATGTGGGTTCAGGAAGGAGGTTGCATTTAGACTGGGCCTTGGAGGAGGTGCAGCATTTCTGCTGGGAGAGGCTTGGTCAAGGGTGAGGTATGATAGTAAGTTACACGTCAAAGTAGAATTCTCAAGTTCTTTTTTGTTTCATGCACAATATTGGAAAGAAGTTCTGTGTGATAGGTGTGTGGTAGGAAGATACTGGGATTGTCATGGTGCCTTGAGTGATAAGCAAGGCTGAGAAATCAGGAGAGGTAGAAAACAGGAAAGTGTGCTTGCCAAAAATTACAAATTCCCATCCATTGAAATATGGCCAGTGAAATTCTAAAAAAACATAGGCAGAGTGGGGTGAAGTACAAAGTACATAAGGTGAATAAATGCTTCTAAGTCAGGGCAACAACAAGACAGGATGTGATTTAAAAGTTAAAGATGTTAAAAACTGGATTAGGTCTGTGAATACCTGCAGGAAGAGTGAATCACTGATAGCACTGACTATATGCATGTAAGATACACATAAAGTGAAATACAGGAGGAATTTCAACCAGTGCTAGGACATAGGAATATTAATTCCTATTATGCAGTGAGTACCTACTAAGTGACGAACCACCCTTTACATGGGTTGTTACATTTAATCTCAGAATGATCTAGCTAGGTGGGCTTTATGAACCTCATGGCACATGAAGAAAGTGGGGCTCAAAGAAGTTCAAAATGTGAATTAGTCTGTGCTCCTACTATGCAATAGAGCCAGAATTTAAGAGCAGATTTTCCCATCTGTGGTCACACACTTTATCCTATGCCAATCCAGAATGATTTATATTTTAAAAGAAATTAAGTGGTGGCTTCAAGGATACCTTTATAGTATGTCACTCTCTGGGGTTGCAATATGCTGTCATTTGTGATTCAGTGCTGAGATCCAGCCAGCATTCTAGAGATTGAATATAAAATCTTGGGAGTGTGTTGTAGCGCATGAGACCAATCTCTGCTGGGTGAGAATAGCTGATGGGCAGGAATAAAATGTCATTTAGCTCAAGCTCTTAATCAGCCATTTAAAAGAGATGACTGGCAAGAGCATGAATTGGGACAGAGATGGCTCTCATTCCCAATTTGAATTTTGCTACACACACGGAACACCCAGGACAAGTGACTTTACTTCCTGATCTCAGTTTGCTTATGTGGTCATTATGGTACATTATGTATATAGAAAAAGAGGCAGTTTTGGATAACAGAAAAAGTACATGATTACTTAAGAGGCTTGGCCTCATGTAGGCACTAACTTAACTGAATAGTCTTGAGGAAATCACAAACTCTAAGCCTCTTCCTTCTTCTGATACATATGGGTGGTACCATCTACCTCAAGGGTTTACTGTGTTAGGTACCTAGAACAGATAGATTCTATTAATGTGCCATATTGAATTATTGACACAATGCTCGGTAAAACAAGTGCATATTTCCAATCCATTTCTTTTTAAACTTATTTTAAAAATGTTTTCAGTGACTATAACTTATACTACAGATCATTAAAAGAACATTAAAGTGTGGTAAAAATTGTATATCTTAGGAGTTAAAAAAATCTTGGTACTGTTAAAAAATTGGTCATTAAAAAAATCTTGGTACTGTTTTTAAAAGATAAATTGTCATTAAAGCAGAAAATTATTCATTTTGTTCATAGCCCTGGACACATTTTATTCATTAAAGCAATTCCTACTTTTTTTTTCTTTTTGTATAGAAGAACTGGGGTGTAAGTCAAAAGTGCAGGGGGTAAGAGGATTCACCAGAGACAGAGTGGGGAGCAGAACAGGCAGATCCACTGAAATATACTGCTAAGGGGAGCAGCAGGTGAGAACGGAGGAGTCTGCTGTGCCATGTGAGTTAGTTCCCCAGCTGGGGATCAAACTCAGGCAGTAGAGGTGATAGAGCTGAGACTTAACCCCTAGGCCACCAGGGAGGCCCCAAAGCATTTCCTTGAAAAAGCATATTTCATTCAACAAAGTGCTTAATCTGAGAAATAAGAGATTAGTACCATTAACAAGACTTTGATGACTGTATTACTAAGAAAATGGTTAAACATGCTTGCTATCTCTGATATGATCACTGGGTTGGTGGGTCTCAGTCTATTAAGTGAACCATGAAAAACACCCATGCTTACAAAGCTGTTCCCTACCACCGCTGAAAAGCAAACAAACAAACTGACCTCAAGACAGTATTTAAGTTCATCACACCAAAGTAAAACAAGTCAGGCTTACTCTCTCAGTCCTCCCTATTTAATCAAGTCACAGGAATTCAAATATCTTAGACCTCATACATCTAACTGTTCACTATGTCCCCACATCTGACACAAGGGTAATGGGTCTGAGCAAATTTTGTGACCTTCAGCTTACATTGTGGGTTGCCAGAGCCATCCCATCATTTAAAACAAAGAAAGAGAATGTTTAATATAAATTTATGAAGCTGATTGGCCCTGGCGATTTTGCAGTTATGCCAACTGTGAGGGCTGCCATCACCTTCCTGCTCTGTCATCTTGGTGGCATTTTAATGACTCTCCATCCAGAAGCCTCTTGATACCTCGGGAAACTACTGCATACCTGTCCCAAAACCTGGCAGTTGGTGAAGACCACATTTCTCACATTACTGAAGGTTTTTAAGAAGTATGTAACTGAAACAGGGCTGCCTTTTCCTTTACCCAGTTCTCCACCATAGAAAAGGCTTTGTTAAATATGGTCATTGGGACCTTCCTCTCCCCCACATCGACTAGTTCTTGATGTTTACTTTAAGGAGGGAAACTTGTTTTTCCTAACTGTTTTGCTGGTAGTTTAGAAAGCTCAAAGAATCTGAAACCAAGAGAAGTTTGGCCTTAAGACTCTGACTTAGGCATTCTGGGATGGGGACCCGCCGGGTGGCTAAGCCAAGCGAGGTACCATGAGAGGTTTTGAAAGATCTGGACTCTGATTTATGTATATACCGCCAGGCGTGGGATGGGGGTGGGAAAATTGGCTGAGGGAGAAAAGAAAGTAATTAGTGTCTACAGAGCACATCCTAAGGTTCCCGAGTTGCTAATTCCATCCCTAACCACCTCCTTGCTGGGAACCAGCTGCAAATGGAAAGATGGGCGAGCCTGGCTTGGGGTGGAAGACAGCGGTGCTGGCCTCAAGCGCCGGCCTAGACACCTGGCTTCTGGGCCCGCCCAGCCCGCCCAGCCCGCTCTGCCCGCTCTGCCCACCAGCCCACAGCGCTCCCGGCCGCTCGGAGACCTCCAGATCGCCCTGCTCCAAAGTGCTAACTTCAGGCGCTCGGGGCTGGCCAGGGGAGCTCGGACTAGAAGCGACAGGCCCTGGGGTGTGGGGGATTTGCAAGGTAAGAGAGACCCACCGTCGCCCCGGCCGCGGTCCGGTTTTCTCCCGGTCCTCGCGCCCTCACCCCACCCCCGAGTCTGCAGAGCCGGCCGCGGCCACGCTCGTTCCGCGCCAGGCTGGGGTCCCTCGCCCGATCGCCGGGGCAGGCGCGGGCGGGGTGGGGCAGGAGTTGGCGGGTCCCTGCGCCCCGGCAGCGGTGGCTTCGGGGCGCCCCTGGGGTAGCGACCACCTCCGCCCGCGGGGAAGGCGGGCGCGGGCGCGGGCGCGGGCAGGCGAGGCGAGGCGGGGCGCGCGCGGGCTCCGGCGCACCTAGCGGACCGAGCCCCGCGCTCCCCCGCGCTCCCCCGCGGGCCGCCCCTCTCCATCCCTCCGCGGTCCCCGCCCTTACCTCGGCGCGCTCGGGGGCCGGCTCGCGAGGGGCCCGGGGGGCGCCCGGCTGGCTGTCGGCGGGGCTCAGCGGCGGCCGGCGACGGCGGGGTCGCCCGCGGGGCCGCTGCTCATGGCTCTTGGCGCCCGGAGCTCTGCGGCCGCGGCCACGGCGGCGCCTTCCTCCCGGTCCTCTTCGCGGGCTCCGAGCCGGGACTCAGCTAACGCCCCAGCCCCGCCGCCTCCACCCCTCCGCCTCCCGGGCCGCGGACGGAGCCGCCTCCAGCGCCGCCCCGCGCGCAGCCGGGCCAGCGGCAGCCAGCGCCGCCCAGCGCCCAGCCCCGGGTGGCCGCCGCAGCCGCCGGCCCTGGCCGCGCTCTGCCCCGCTGTGACGCAGGCGCCGGGGCCCGGGCACTTCCTCCTCTGCAGACCCCGCCGTGCGCCCGGGGCGGGCCGGCCAGGCGGCCGCCGCCCCGGTGGGGGCTGCCTCCAGGACGGGGAAGACCCCCCGAACCCCGGCGCCTCCCCGCGGGCCGCTGCGGCCTCCGGGATCGCCGCGCCCGGGGGCCTCTGCCGCGGGAGGCCACCGCGTCCAGGGCCGACCCGGCCCCCAGCCTCACAATGCGCGCAAAACCCGGGGCTCCCCTGCGCGCAGCGTCTGCTCGGCCCCCCAGCTCCTCCCCAGGGTAAGTCAGAGGGAGCAACGGCATTAAAATGAACCCTCTGGGAACCCCTCGGAAGTACCGGGGTCGGGATGGGCATAGATCGCTCTTCATTATCCCCTTAAATGTCACCCCTCCCCAGAAGGGGCAGGAGGACCACAAAGGAATAGGAGGGTGGAGTGGGCGCGCAGAGGGAGGTGATGGAGCCGCAAAGGCAAACTCCCATTTCCCTGAACCTTGGAGCCCGGTTGACACCGAGTCTCCCCTCCGACGGGAATTTCCATGTTCCTTCTGGCCACACTCCTTCATCTCTCAGCAGGGCCCAGGGAGACTGAAATCTAATGCCCCGCCTACAGTTTTGTGCTGTGCCAGAGTTGAGAGAGCACGTATAAACTACCTGTTGTTTAAAAAGCATGTTTAGGCCCTCCCTGATGGCTCAAGGGATTAGGCACCGCACTAGGAAGCAATCCACAGCCTCTGCAGCACGAGTTCGATTCCCCTGCCAGCCAGGGAGAAACCCACATGGCAGAGCAGACCTCTCCTGTCTCCCCTGCTGCTCCCCTCAGCAGTATATTTCAGTCAATCCACCTGTTCTGCTCCCCACTCTGTCTCTGGTGAATCCTCTCATCCCCGCATCTCTGGCCTGTACCCCAGCTCTTGTATGCATAAATAAATAAATCTTAAAAAAATAAAAAGCATGTTTAAAGAGGGGTGGTCCCTTATTTATCGATCAGAACCAAGTTTTTCTTCCCTCCAGGCCCCTACCCAATTTCAGGATGAAAAAACCAGCTCTGCCTTCTCGAAAGCTGATGACAGTCCATATGAAAATCTTCCCAGTGAAAAATAAAACGTATGGACAAGAATACTAAGTAATATAGAGTCTTCTGGATGCCTTGTCAATACTTATTGTAAGAGCACTAAAAATTAAATTACTGCTTTGCCCTGGCAGTTAGGAAACGACAGATGTATGTGAAGAGAGCAAGGGACAAATAACTAATCATCTTTCACTAGCTGGGTGGTTCTAACACAGCTTGCCTTGAAGCAGGCTCCTCATTTGACCCCATTTCTATTTCCAAGCCAAAATGAAAACGTTTGCCCCGCCCCCCCAAAAGTTCTCTTGGGCTTTTAACTACTCCTTTTGTTTGCCTGGTAATCTACTCCTTTTTGCAATTCCAGAAATGTTGTTGGGTGTCCTTCTCAGAAGCAGCATTAGACCCTTTTAGGACATAGGAAATGAGTTTAACACCAGTCTTAACCTGGATCAAGAGACAAATCTAGGGTGAGACCTTCCTTCTAGAAAGAAAGTGGAAAATTTTCTGGAGAGTTCTTGGGGAAAAGCCAGAAGCTGACTTTAGCAAATTGCTAGAAAATAAGTAAGCCACAGGGTACTATGTGATGTAGGTCTGGCTTTTAGGTACCTTACTTGGACTTACTAGGACTTGAGACAAGTACTAAGAGTATGAGCCTCCTGTAGTGGGCCTTATGCTACAGCAGCTTTCTGTACGCCCCCTGTCCTCCTTGTAACTTGGGCACACTGAGCAAGCTTAGGCATCCCTGAAATGTTCCCTTGCAAGCCAGTATCAAGGAACGACTCAACTTTAGACTTTAGACTCAAGTGAATCAGAAATACATCCCTATTCTTCCTTTGTAAATGTAGGGAAATTACTACTATCCCACCCCCTCCTGTTAGCAATGTAAGTACAAAACATCAGGTGCTGTGGGAATTAGATAACCTACTTGAAGCACCAAGAGCAATGCCAAGCACTTTGTGAGTTCTCAGTAAGTGGTGGGCATCATTGCCCTGAAAGCAAAAAGGAAGTGCAACAAAGTTTAGATATAAGACATGAATCTCTGCAAGTTGAGTCTCCTTCCCTTACCCCAGTTGCTTAATTGTATCTTTGTCTCCTCTGCACCTGCCTTCTAAGAGGGTGAAGCTGATATTTCTGCATGTGCAGGTTGGTGATTCACATGCCCACTAAGGTCTGAGAGGCATTGGTTCACCTGGTTTTGTAGCAAGTAAACCTTAATAAGCCTAGTCACCTTATCTCCAATCAACAGCCATCCTGATCAAGCCCAAGGTGTAAAGTATGAGGGGAATCAGCAATCAATCAGCCAACTTCTGGGAATGCAGGACTCTGAGGGTCTCAAAGAACTGTGAATACCAAGGTCTTCACAGGAGAGAGAACTGGCATGCATGTGTTTTGTAATAAACCATTTTGAACTAAATGTGGTTGAAGTTCGGGGAAAGGAGAGGGTACTTGGGCGAGGTGACCTGGATATACAGAGCTATACTGGCTTGACTTTTCTCTTAATACCTTTTTTTTTTTTTCAGATTTATTTATGCATACAAGAACTGGGGTACAGGCCAGAGATGCAGGGGGTGAGAAGATTCACCAGAGACTGAGTGGGGAGCAGAACAGTCAGATTGAGATACACTGCTGAGCGGAGCAGCGGGCGAGAGAGAAGTCTGCTGCGCCATGTGGGTAGCTCCCTGGCTGGTTGGGGATCGAACTCCTGCTGCAGAGGTTGCGGACAGCTACATAGTGCTGTGCTTAACCCCTTGCACCACCAGGGAGGCCCCTTAATACCCAATTCTTTTGGCCAAAGTTTGACTTCTCAGATGGGCTTTCAGAGTGAATTCCCACACTTAGACTCTATGTGTGAGTTTACTGTGTACTAGTTGACAACAGAGAGCAGAAGTAGCTCTTTCTAGGCAGTGGAAGACCATGATTAATTGCTTTGGAATCATAAAGATCTGGGTTCAATTGTGGCATCTGCTACTCACTGGCTAGTGCCCCACCCTGAGCTACTTAATCTAAGAACCCCAGTTTTCTCATCTGTCTATTAGAACATTAATATCCACTTACTTTTTAAGGTTCTGATGAGACTTAGAAAGAATACCAGCAATCCTTTTTTTTTTAAATTTTTTTAAGTGGGTAGTATGAAAATAGTAACTGTACTGCATGGTTGTTTGTTTCTAGCTACAAGGCAATGTAGGTTGGACTGTATCATTCCTTGAAGGGCTCGTTCAAAAGTTAAATTATCTATGAAGCCCCTGCAGCTCCACTCAAGTATAACTCTCCCTTCTTTTTGCTCCCATAGCACTTAGTTCCAAACTCTATTTCAGCACTTACCATGGACTGCTACCATTTCTCTCTATGCTATCTGCTTCTCTACCTAGCCACAGACCCTGCAGGCAGGGACTGTGTCTTTATTCATCTCTGTGTGGACAGCTAGCACAGAACCTGGTATTAAATGTTGAAAGAATGAGTTCTTGAAAGTTTCTCTTTCTTCTTCTGGTTCTGACTTTCGATATAAATTGTATTAAACTATAGACTCTTAGAAAGTGAACCCTTTAGCTCATAAGGGTTTTTACTGAAAGAACGTATCATGTACATGTATCTTCCTAATCTTGATTTCTGAGTCTGGGCTTGTTATTGGAGACCACCCTGCTATTTTTGTTATATATATATTTTTGTTATATATAAATATCAATATATATGTATGTCAGTTGATGCTGTATAATAAGAGTGAAAGTAAAATTTAAATTCTAAACCAAAACCACTTGCAAAATTTTACTTGTATTCTCTACTCATCCTTTGTACATCTCGCTCCCCAGACTGTTGTTGGGATTTAGAGAGTGTCCTAAGCTAAGAGAAAACATTGTTGTTTTAAGTTTCGACTGTTAAGTTAAAAGCCACCTTTTGCAACAAGTTTGAACTCCTTGACCTACCCATTAAAAATGTTAAGACAGAGAGAAAAAAAAACCTCCCCTAGAAAATGTCTTGTGAGCAGAAAGTTCCCAAAAGGTAATGTGAGGGCCTCCCCGGCGGCGCAGCGGTTGAGCGCTGGGTTGCGAAGCTGCCCGCGGCCTCTGCTGTGCCGGTTCGATCCCCGGCCGCTCCCCAGCCACCAGAGGAGGGTCCCACATGGCGTGCAGACCTCTCCTGCTGCCCGCTGCTCCCCTCAGCAGTGTACTTCGGTCCTTCTGCCTGCTCTGCTCCCCGCTCTGGCTCTGGTGAATTCTCTCACCCTCCCATGCTTCTGACTGTACCCAGTGCATGTATAAACAAAACAAACAAACAAATTAAAAAAAAAAAATCATAAATAAATAAAAAAAATACATGCCTCTAAAAAAAAAAAAAAAAAGGTAATGTGATCAATTGTGGTCTTGACCCTAAATGGCATCTAAATTTGTCCCAGGGAATGGTGATGCTGAGGAACTAAAAATAGGATACTACAAAACCTTGGGTAAAATCCTTCTAAATCAGCTTTGAATTTTTTATACTCCTCCTTTCTTCCTACAAACACACACACACACACACATACACACAAAATAAAAGTGGTTGGGCCTACTAACTTGTGAGATATTCTTTGGAAGTAATTACGATGAATAAGCACTTACTAGGTATGTGGCTTCATATGTGTTCTCAGTAACTACCCACTAGGTAAGCAGTGTTATTTTCTCCTATTGACAAAGGAGACAGCTAAAGCACCTAATAATCAAGTAACTAGCTGAATATCTTATGACTGATGAGAACAAGAATTAGGATTTGATCCAGGTGACTCTGTTATCAGAGATCTTGTGCTTAACCACTACTCAATTATATAAAAAATGAGTTATTTATTTTTAACTTGGATCCATCTGGTAAATTCTATAAGGTTAATGATATACTATTTATTTATTTATTTATTTATTTATTTTTTAAAGATTTATTTTTTTATTCATACAAACACTGGGTACAGTCAGAAGCGCGGGAGGGTGAGAGAATTCACCAGAGCCAGAGCGGGGAGCAGAGCAGGCAGAAGGACCGAAGTACACTGCTGAGGGGAGCAGCGGGCGGCAGGAGAGGTCTGCACGCCATGCGGGACCCTCCTCAGGTGGCCGGGGATTGAACCGGCGCCGCGGAGGCTACGGGCAGCTTTGCAACCCAGCGCTCAACCACTGCGCCACCAGGGAGGCCCAATGATATACTATTTAAAGTAATATTGGGTTGTCAGAAAAGTCATTATGTACAACCCAG